GTGGGTTCAAATTGCAACCATCAAACCCTACAAATGGGTGACAACCCTCCAAGAAGCTAACCCTCATTGCATTTTAACACACAAGCATTCTCTCGACTGTATAAGAACCCTTCTTTGAATCCAATCTTTACAATGCTCCTTGGGATTGAACTGAGCAAGACATGGAAATAGTCAGCCTACCTCTTGAACTACTCATTGTGAATTCCCTCAATTTAAACAATTGCCCTCATTTTGGCTTTCTAAGTTGTGGTCTTGCTAATATCAACTCTAAACTCTCTTAGAGTCTTATTGCGTAGTGCAAGGGCTTTCCAGTTAGGATCATCAACGAACTTGTTGTACTTCTTGGCAAGCCGTACTAGGGTGGCCACGACGCCGTGCAAGCATATTCTGCAAGCAATGGATGGATGAGCATCACCATCTTGAATGTGCCAGACACGCAACAACCGACTTCCCGTTTGCTCGTTTTCTATCACCCGCCAACTCGGTACTTAACCGTTGGAGTCTCTTTCCTGGGTTATCCCCTCGGGCTCTCTAACGATGCTTGTCTTGTAGGCTCAACTGTTGACCTCATGTCCCGATCTCCAAGCTGCCGCTGCCAGTAGGAATTCAGTGCATTTTGACTCTCATCAGTTACCAATAATTGCTTGTGTAGATGGATTGGAAAATGTCATCTCCACAATCAAATTGGGTGAATCCATTTGGCTCTTTGGTATAAAAGTCTCAAAGTGTCCTTCCTCATCATTAGAGCCATGTAGACTCTTCAAATCTTCTGGTTGTTGATAGTCATCTAACAATTCTAGTCCAAGTACAATAGATTTATCCTGGGGACCACCTACGTCATTTATTGATTCATCGGGTTGAGGGTGTGAATCACTATTACCAGGTTATGCATCATTATGTTCATGTTCTAACTCATTTTGGTCATGTTGTGCTTCATGTAGAATAGCAGTGGTTGTTTGGCCCCCAATACTATAAGGAACTTATATCTTACAACCACCAAGTGCCTCAACCAACTCCTCATCTAATGATGTAGACTGTTCATCATCACTAATAACATAGTCTACATCATCATTGTCATCAGTTACACCACAATCGATATCATCACCACAATGGCCATATCCCTTATCTTCTCCCTCAAATAAGATGTTGATGTCAACAAATTCATCTGTATCGGGCCTTGATGAGCTGGTCCCATGAGTGCTATATGCTTCATTACCCACATCATGTACAACATACATGTCTATATGGACCTTGCCTTCATGTGCTGCACACATGGAAAACACATCTTGGTCATTGTTCACTATCACCAATCTATCATCGAGATCATACCGTTTCTTTGTATAACAAACTTGACATCGGCCTTTGTAGCCTAATTCTTTCAAAATGCTCTCTATCTCAATGTATGACAGTAGTTCACTATCAACATTATTGCACATTGAAACATCACCACCATAGTAAATTTGTGGCGGTAAATCAATGGAGGTGCCACCATGGTGAATAAAAACACTAAACATCTGAAATGACATTTTCTTCTTGCTGCCACATTCTTCTCTCTCTCTCTCTCTTTTGATAATGGCGCATTCTTCTTTTCATTTCTTGAACTTGCAATGACCTCTTCTTCCAATGGCGAATAAACTGGCAAGATGGCTATCTCTTGAGACCCATCAAGCCAAAAAAAAAACAGATAAAATAGTGTAATTGATGACTTGTAGTGGCCAACAAAATCACCGACCACCCTCTTTAGCAATGAACCTCGATGAACAAAACTGATGGAGTGATCAAAACAGCAAAAGAAAGAGGGTTTTCTTCCATTTATTATAATACTATTGTTTTTTCTTACACAATTTGTAATTTGATTACTTTGATACAGTTATTTTATATCATTGATCAATTTTCCCGTTTTGTTGAAGAGGTAACAATTTTTGCATCAGGTATTTTTTTTTACATCTTCGATCAATCTATTACATCTTCAAAGTTCAAGCTATAGTTTTTTTTTTTCATACAATTGTTTTCACAATTTTTATATTTTATATTTCCAAATATTTTATAATTTTTATTGTTTTATTTATGATGTTACAAGTCAACTCATTTGATTCAGACGATTGAATTGCCTACTCGGAAATTGGAGGCAAACAAGGTTCCATTTTTGGGTCGGTTTTTAAAACATTGGTATTGGGCTTTGATGAGCTGGCCCCATGAGCGCTATGTGCTTCATTATCCACATCATGTACAACATACATGTCTATATGGACCTTGCCTTCATGTGCTATACACATGGACAGTACATCTTGGTCATTGTTCACCATCACCAATTCATCCTTGAAATCATACTGCAGCTTCCTATAACAATCTTGGTCATTGGTCATTGCTTTCATGTGTTGTACACCAATTCTTTCAAAATGCTTTCTATCTCAACGTATGACAGTAGATCACCATCAACATTATTGCACACGGAAACATCACCACCACACCACAGTAAATTTGTGGTGGTAAATCAATGAAGGTGCCACCATGGTGAATAAAAACAGTAAACATCTGAAACATGAAATAAATCTATTAAATGATATATTATACTAAATCAACCAAACAGTCATTTATAGAAAAAGAAAACACATATTTGCCCTTTGGAGTGTGTGTGTACCTTTCTGTTAAGTCTGTGTTTGGTTTGAAGGATAAAGGTATTGAAAGGGATGAAAAGATAGGGAACCTATAAAAGAGTTGTACAAGGTTCCCTTGCTTTGCCTATCTTTCCCTTTAGGCCAAACACAGTCTCTAAGTCCCTAACTAAGTATCATCAATTGAGACAAATGAAACCAAGCCCATTAAGGGCCCAATTTAGATGATGTTGTGCTAGTTGATTCTTAAGTCCCAAATTAGGTAGCATCAATGGAGAGAAATAAACCCAAGCCCGTTAAGGGTCCAATGCATAAATGCTTTTATACCATATCAATGGAATATGAGGTTGTCTAACAAGAAGCATGTTATACCAATTTAGTGGTATATGGGGATGCCTAATAGCAACTTAATGATGCACAAAAAGATGGATCACATGTTTTTGGATTTTAGAATCTAGGTGTTGGACTTGAAAAGGGGTTGTTTTGTCATGTTTCCATTAGTCCAACACTGTTAATAAGACTTTATTGTTAATGTGCTAACTAAAAAACTTGGAAGCACACATACATACAAAAACTGGAAGAAGAATTGATAAAAAATTTGGACAGTCTTTTTTTTTTTTCCTTTACATGAATTAACAAATGGATAATTGGGTGGGGGTCTCACTTTGTAAGGGTAGTACAATTGCGTTCTGTCTCCCTCCTCTGTCACAGACAAAGGGATATCTACCACACAAGGTAGGGGACTCATTCAAACACATGTATATTTTAACAAACAGAAAACCCTAATAATTACATCTACTATTCAACTCACACAATAAATCCTAATTGAAAACATCTACTGTTCAATTATCACAATAAACCATAGGTGAAATACAATCATACACCCTAAAAAATGCATCAAAATCAACTAAAAACATTCAATGGAATAATGTATAAAGTAAAAATGAGAAAATATGGAGAAAAAAGCAGATTACAGTGGTTATGGCGATGTTTTCCGATGATATTTTTAGGAATAAAAGGAAAAGAAATGGAGTACGATGTTCTCTGGACTGTTTCATGGCAATATCTCCTTTTTCTAGCGTCGTATTCTGCTTATTGGCACCGGTGGGAAGAACTAGTTCTTTGTCAATCTGTTAGGGCACAAAGTGATGAACAATGTTGCCCAGACGAAGTGAAAAGGGATTAAAACAGGGTTAATCTCATCATTTTGAAATTTAGCTTCTCTCTCTTCTTGAAAAATCGAAGGGCATTTGCGTGTTTTTACATATCATCTAATGTCGGTTAACGGTTAGGTACTAAATTCGCAGGTTATGGAAGTGTCCACAATCACCTGTTGTTGTTTGTTTAGGCATTGAAGCTTCCATGGCAGGAGAGGAACTATGCTTTTAAGGCTGTGTTTTGAAATTACAGAAAATAAGAGAGAAAAATAAACCTTCTTAGAAGAATTTTTGTGAAATTTTTTTATATTTTTCCCTCAATTTTCTATAGCAAATGCTATTGTGTGCAAACAAGTACTGGATTGACATGTTTTGAAGTTTGGGACCAAAGTGAGACTAGGACCAAAGTACATTTTCCCCTTATATTATTGATAAAAAATCCGCATTTATATCAAAAAACGATTTTTAATCTCAAGAAATTTATACAAAAAATATTAATAATAGAATAAATATTTTAGTACTTAAAATTTATAATTTCTAGATGATAAATATCTTAAAATTTTATATATTTTTATAATTATTAATTATCATTTTAATTTACATGAAATAGAACCATTTATTATTTACAAAAAGATATATTGTTTACAAAATATTCAAAAATATAATATTAAATGAGTATCAAATCCACTAATCTACATTTATATCTCAAAATGATTTTTATTTTAGAAGAATTATAGAAATAAAAATATTAATAATGGAAAAATTATTTAGTAATTAAAAATTATTAATTCGGATATGATATGTATCATAGAAATTTTAACAGATTTGACAACATATTGATTTATTTATTGTGTATATTAGCTGTTCATTTATGTCAATTGTCAAATAAACAAGTGAATAAAAGAAATATTTTTGAAGGAGTGCAAGAACGGACCATGTCTAATAGATACTTTATCCACTTATTTGAGTCCAAGCAACACTGGTTTGTACTAGTGAGGAAAAAAATGTTCATTCTACTTTAATTGATTTTTTTCTGTTGTTTTATAGTTAATTATTCCATGCTTAAATTTGATGCTTCAATTTTTCCGTTTTTACATTGTGATTCAAATGCCCAGGAATTTATAATGTGTATGATGTGTGCAGTATGCACCTTGCATACCCTTTTCTTTGGAAGGAAAAATGTTGTTTTTACTTGATAAACTAGCAACTCATTAAACTACTTTTGCAGGAGAGGTTTAATTACTCGTAATGTCAAAGAAGCAGTTGATTTGTTTCATCTACGTTTTGGAGTAAGTCTTGCTGTGGACTGTGGTGAAATTTGACTTCTGTATATAAAACCTGAAACATCATTTAATCAATGCCAGGTTACTTATTTGTTGCTTTTCCTGATTATTTCACTGATATTGTTGTGGAATAACTGATAAGAAAAAGGAGAATACAACTACAAGTGATAAGAAATCATTAAATACAATCTTGTAGAAAATCAACCCAATTAATCCCCATTTAAACAAACCATAGTCATCAACTCCTCATAACACCATTTATTAGAATGGTATTGGGGTTATATGCAAAATCATAAAATTTGTCTTTTTATTTTTCTATAGGTAATTTTGAATTTTTTGGGCTGGTTGTTGGTTGGGAGTGGTGGGTATCATTTTTGCTCCATATTCCTCGCTGATATCTTGTCAACAGACCCTTTGTATCTCCATTCTCCTTTTTATTTGAATGAATTTTCTTTCTTTTTAGAAATAACTTTATTTATTTGTTCTCATGAATATGTTGATTTTCTAGACTTCAACATGAAGTTTATACTTTTCTTATGAAAATTATGGATAATTATTAAGGAAATATGGTTTTGGAACCTAGGGAACTATCCTAGGATATATGTTTTTACTTAAAAAAATCCATCGCCTAGGCGACTAGGTGACAAGGCACCCCCCATTGCCTAGCCTCACCTTGGCGTCTTGAAAACTATGATCTATATCTGGATGTTTACTTTTGTCCACGCACCAATTCCAATCAGTTTTGCCACACACTCAACACACATAGACACATCTGCGAGTAAGTTGATATATATTGTGTGATGTGTTTGACTTTTTAATGTCATATATGCGAATCCTCTTCCTCCCTCCACAATGTAACAATTCTCACATCTATTAGTGCATTCTGCTGTTGCTGTAGATGACGTTCTCCCCAGCACTCAGTAGGGAGTTTCGCCCTTATAAACCAGACCCAGCCCCATTATTACATATCTGTGCAACTTGGGATGTTCACCCTAAAGAAGTAATGATGATTGGCGACAGCCTTAAAGATGATGTGAGTAACATTTATTTTTTCTGGATATAGTATTTTATGTTTCTGATAAATTGAATCCAATAATCTGTTAGTTTTCTCACTCCCTGTATCAAGAGAAGCTTCATTCTAGATCATAAATAGTTTTCCTTGGCATATATTTTCTCATAGTATGCAATGCACTTCAATACTTTGTGCTGACCTTCCCTCGACTGGATCACCCCCTTTCCCCCACTCCAATTCTCTCTTATTAACCCCTGATTTGGTTAGGCTGTCTGCTAGGCTATAGCATATATAGGGATCCAACTAAAGAAACAGTTTTGATTGGTAGATAATGCCAATGTTTCTCCGATTATATGTCTTAGACACCAATGGTCCTTCAGCCATCTTGACAATCTCCTCCAACTACTAAGCCATTCCATTCCCTTCCCTTTGCAAATCCCAGTCCAAAAAGAAGAGCTAAGAGATCAACCTTTAGAAAATTTCCAGTTCCTGCTGGACCTAAGTAGCTTAATAACATATTGCAATAATGGTCTCTGAACACTTCCCCCAAAGATCTTGTCTTTAACCAATTGACAAAATGGGTTTAGGTAAAGAATCGGTTTGGAAGACGATACTTTCGGTGGAGAAAAAGAGCTTTTTCTTCGAAGACTGTAAAGGAGGAGAAGTGCTGAAGTTTGAAGAGAAAGGAAGATCAACGGTCTTCTTGTCTCAAGAAGTGGCAGGTTGGTTTAAAGGATTCATTGATGGGGCAATCCATGCGGTGACAAGACCAGGCTGGAGGAGTGCTTGGAGAAGAGATGGGGTTTTCTTTTCAATGGAGAAGAAGATTAATAATAAAGGATGTTTTTTGAGGCTGGACGAAGTGATGGGAGATGGTGGGAGACAGGTTATTTGTTTGCCAGAAGGGAGGAATGGTCAGGGCTGGAACAAGGTCGCCAAGGTGTTGCAGGAATTTGTAGAAAGGTGTTGGTTAAAAAAAGGAAAATTCGATGAGTTTAGGGACTAAGAAGATGTTACAGATACAGATACTAGACAGCCAAAAGGAAAGTCTTGAAACGATGTCAGGTAGAGTAGTATGTACTCTCAGGCTTGTGTTAGGAGGATGCAAGGAAGATTGGAGTAAAAAGATGGTTGTGCTTGCAAAGAAGAAAGTGATAGATTGGAAGAGGGTCCTTAATGATGTTATGTTAGAATCCCAACTTTCAGGCAGAGTTCATGAATCTTGAAACTCTGGAAGGTACGGTCACTGTGGCGAACTAGAAACCTTCTTGTAATGAGATTTCAATCCCTGAAGGAAGTGTGAGCTTGAAGTTTTTTGGACTTCTATTCAACTTGTGACTGATCATGTCTTCAATCCGCACGGCAAAGATTGAAATTACCGGTGCTAAACTGGATAGGATTCCCCGTTTAATTGATCTCTTTGCTGAAGGAAGATGGAGGAAACTCTGGGTGGCAATGGAAGCTGAACCGGTTTTATGGAATGGAGGGAGAGATGTTGAAGACGGCATTGACTGGATTCGGTGGAATCCACGTGGCACAATCAGAGTGGAAGGAGAAGGGAAAAAGGGGGAAGCTGAAAGGTGTTTGGTGTTAAAATCTCAATGCTAAATAAATTGTGCTCAATATTCAAAAAAAGACAGTGGTGGTGGTGCTAATATCGAGATGGGGGAGGTTGGAAAGGGAGGTAAAGAAGGGAACAGATTTATTGAGAGAAAGAGGATATTTTATATTCGGTTGGGAATGGACTTAGTTACCCAACACGTGAGTCTCTTGGGAAACATGTGGATGAAAAAGGGGGAGATAAGCTCGGTGGGAAACAGATGGGCTTTGTGCGGGGTTGTAATGATGAGTCCATGAGACACAAGATTTTTAGTTCTGGGCCAAAGAGGGGGCCCATTAACAAAGGTGGATTTACTCAAGACGTTAGGAGGTCTTCTGGGGTTGAACCAATAGATGGTTACCAATATTTTGAGTCGAAGGGATCGACTTTGAGACGAATGACAACAAAATATGGTGAGTGTGTAGTTGATCAGGTGGTCCAACGTTTGAAGATGAGTCGATAGAATGGGAGATTACAGTAGAGGCAGTTGGTGATGCTGAAGATTTTGTTTGGAGAATGACAAGATTTTTCGTTAAAGATAAGAACAGTTCAACAATTTTAGAGAAGGCCGACTCAAGTGAAAAAAGGCATGTGGAAGAGAAGGAAGATGTTCAGGCGGAGTCTGAAACTAGTTCTCTTCAACAGGAAAAAGGTGAGGATGGATTGGATGCCAATGATGGTAAGAGAGAAGTTATATAGAACATTCCCATTAGAGGAGAATAGAGAGGAGGGGATGGAAGTGGAATCAGGGGAGGAAATTGAGTTGGAACCAATGATTGATGAGACTCATGTAGAAAAGACTTGTGACATCAAGAAAGCAGTGAATAGGGGAGTGAAAGTCAACAAAGGGTCTGTTTTTCCTAGGAGGGAAGAATTTGCAAAGGAAGCATTCAAGGCTGCGGAGGATACAACCAAGAAGATTGAAAGTACAGTTGTTCCATTGGTTAACTGTAATTGCGATAACTCAACAATGCAAGAGATGGAAGCGATTGTTGAAAGTTGCAAGGAGATCACCAAGGATCCAGAAAGAGAGGTTGAGGGAGTGGTAGTTTTAAGATAGGGGTCCAAAGTTTGCAAGGAAGTCTGAAGAAGCTATGGGAACTCTAAATGCTATCAGAAGATTTAGAACTCAAAAGAACAAAAGAACTTGATAGTGTAAGGGCATTTTTGTCCTTTGATATATTTCCTTGTATTTGGGCGCCTAGTCATGGGCTCCTTTGTAATTTGCACATTATGTTTAAATGAAAACTTTCTAGGTGTGAACAGTAACACACCTAACATTCTTGACAAACCTCTTCTTCAAGGAAATCATCTACTGCTGATCATGACTAGACCTGTTCATGGGCCGGGCCGGCCCGGCTTGGCCCCCGGACGGGCTTGAATAGGTATATGGGCCCGCAGGCTTAACCTCGGGCCAAAAAGCCCGGCCCGCAATAAATTCGAGCCAGGCTCGGGATTTGCCAAAATAGCCCAGCCCAGCCCGACCTATAATTAAACCTAAAAACCCTAGTCGAATACCCCTCTTTTTTTCACCTCTTTCCCTTATTTTTCCAGTCGAACCCTTCTTCTCCACATCCTTTTTCTCTTCTTTATATTCTTTTTTTAATGTAAATAAATTTTGAATTTATATTCTTTTTTTTAATATAAATAAATTCTAATTTATATNTCTCTTCTTTATATTCTTTTTTTAATGTAAATAAATTTTGAATTTATATTCTTTTTTTTAATATAAATAAATTCTAATTTATATTGATTATTGAATAGGGAAAAATTCTAATTTTTTTTATTAGGTCGGGCTTCGGGCTCGGGCTCGGGCTTCGGGCTTTTTATCAGGGCCGGGCTCGGGCTCGGGCCTAACATATTTCCATTAATGAAGAGTAAAAGCCCGGTCCGGCTCGGCCCATGAACAGGTCTAGTCATGACTCACAGACAAACCTATTGGCATTAGCACACCGTCCGTTGACGTCAGCAGTCCGTACAGTTGGTGGCATCCTTGTGTTTCTGATGCACATTGATGTGCCTTGTTTTTAGAGGAATTTTGGTATAGGTTTCATGGTAGTTTGAAGCTGTTTTAGATTTTTCTTGGATTTTTTGGATGAAATTTGGTGAAAAATTCAGATTTGGAGTTTAGGGCTTGCATGCTCGTCTGGTTGGCTGCCGTTAAAACCTCTTGTGTTTGAGTCATGGTAAATTTCTGAGATTGCAGTATGTAGTCCTGGATTTTTTGGAGCCCTAAAATATTTTTTGGGAATTTTTTACCCCCACCATTTTTCCTTGTTTTATTGTTGTAACCTGTGTTCAACCTTGTGAGAAAGGTTTTTGGGTGTTGAGCTGGTGTTGGGATACTATGATGTTGGTGAGAAAGGTGTTTTTAGAGGGGTTGTGATTGATGGACTCACACAAAGATGTTTGTGTGCCTACCTATGTCTTCTCAGGAAGTAATGAAAATGTTGAAGGGTGGATTATTACTATAAAACTTGATGGAACAAATTTTCTTAAATGGTCTCAATCAGCTAAGCTTACAATTGGTGGAAGAGATAAGCTTGGATTTATTACTAGTAAGGAAGATAAACCAAAGCCTAAAGATCCAAATCATTCCAAATGGGAGTAGGATAATTTGCTAGTTATGTCATGGCTTGTATGCTCTATGCAGCCACACCCGCAACTATATAATTCTTTCAACAGCCAAGGATATTTGAGACAGGTTAAATGGCACTTATTCTCAAGATAAGAACACTGCTAGAATCTATCAGTTGCGAAGAGAAGCATGTAATATGCGATAGGGGAGAAATTGGTGGCCATGTATTTCTCTTCCTTACAATCAATTTGGGAAGATATTGATCATTTAGAGGCCTTGGTGTGGAAGGATCCTGTTGATGCTGAACAATACATGAAGTATAAAAACCGAGTTTTTGATTTCCTTGTTGGACTAAATGTTGACTATGACTTCACTAGGCAGCACATCCTTAGTGCTGATATCTTGTTACTCTCCACAACATATTCTCTTGTGTAGAACGAAGAGAGTAGGAGGAACGCTATTATGCAAGTACCTATAGGTGAACACACTGCCCTTGTATCCACAAAACCCAATTAGAGTTATGGTAAACCTGAAGAAGTATTTTGTGGATATTTCAAGAAGTCAAAGCACACCAAGGATAGGTGTTGGAAATTAAATCCCCATCTGAAATCTAAGAAGTTTAAAACTGGAAAGGGAAATGCTCATGTTGCTACAACCAGTCATGATTCTCAGACTACGCGCTTGTGGGAAATCCTCCTGCTCAGGCATCTACACTGACACCTTTGATTTAATGGAAAAATTGAGTCATATTACTCCAACTAAAGAGCGGGTTGCCTACATCTACTGGTTCACATACACCTTCTAGTGCCTTTGCAAAATCAAGTGCTGCACTTGTGCGCCATG